TTCATCCCCAGCTGTCCTGGTGATATCAGGGCTCTGTCTCCCCTGAAATCTTTTAAGGAAGCCTTGGGCACTAAGCTGTGCTGCTGAGCCCTTCCCACTCCTTTGCCTTTGTCCCACCTTTCCAGAGGTGGCTTTGACTCCTCTCCCAGAAATCCAGTCCTTGGGCTGCATCTTCTGGGCTTGAAGCTGGCACCAGGCAGCAGGGACCTCCTAGCAGGAACCCATGCTGGATTTGGCTCTGGAGAGGATGAGGAGCCAAAAGCTGACTTCAAAGCTTCTCATCTCCTCAGAGAGGTTTCAGGCTTTCAGCCTTGGCTGGGCTCTAGCGGTGGCACCTTCAGAAGGATTTCATCGTTGTGACGCACCTGCCCCAACTTCCACTTCAGCTCGGGAAAACCACGACATTCCCATGAAGTTTCCTCCCGCTCAGGCAGCCCTGGGTGGCAGGACAAGCCCAGGGAGCCTCGCTGAGCTCCTCCCGTTGCAGGTGGGCGCTGGCACAAGCGGCACCTGCGGTACCGGGTGGTGAACTGGCCGTCCTACCTGCCCCAGCACGAGGTGCGCCTGGCCGTGAGAGCCGCCTTCGAGCTCTGGAGCAACGTGTCCTCCCTGGTGTTCTGGGAGGCTCAGGACGGCCCCGCCGACATCCGCCTCACCTTCTTCCACGGGGACCACAACGATGGACTCAACAACGCCTTCGATGGGCCAGGTGCTGGTCGCTTCCCCCTCCTAAGGTGCTCTTTTACAACGTGGGCTCTTCCCCGGCAGGGAGGAGGGCTGTGGGTGATGGAGGCTCTGCATCTCCAGCCCAGTCTGCACCAGTTTGCTGTCTGATTTGGGGTCCCCCCTCCCAACCCTGCCAGGCGGCTGAGGTGTTCCTGATAGTCCCTCCCCACTTGCCAACACCCTCCGACCACGGGCTCCTCCGACAAGACCCAAAGCCGAGGCACATTTAGGCAAAGCAGAGCGGCGTGTGCCGGCTGTGCCGCGGTCCCTGATGGCTCTGGTGTCCCCAGGAGGTGCCCTGGCTCACGCCTTCTTCCCCCTGCGAGGAGAAGCCCACTTTGACAGCGCCGAGCGCTGGTCCCTGCACAGCGGCAAAGGGCGCAACCTCTTCATCGTGGTGGCCCACGAGGTCGGGCACACGCTGGGGCTGCAGCACTCGCCCGTCAAGAGCGCCCTGATGTCTCCCTACTACAAGAAGCTCAGCAAGGATTTTGTCCTCAGCTGGGATGACATCTTGGCCATCCAGAACTTGTACGGTGAGCCCTGTGCGTCCCTCGGTTCCTCCAGGGCTGTTCTCTGGGATGGAGAGCGAGCAGCAGGGATAGGAGCAGGTCCCTGAAAGGGGAGAGGGATGCAGTCACTTGGGGCCCATCCCTGTGTGTGGCTGGGGAGGAAAAGGCAGGAGGTGGGACAGGTACCAGCGCCTCCAGGGCAGGGAAGGTTGGATTTGCTGCCCACTTGTTCAGCTGGTGCGTTTTTTGGGGTACCAAGGGATTTTTGCCACTATCTTACAGAGTGGGATAGGAACCAGACAGTGGGACAAGGAGTCTTGGGAGTCCTGGGAGTCCCTGTGCTTTGGGAAAAGTTGTTTCTCTGCCCCTTCTCTGGATTCATCACCCTTTGTTTCATCCCAGGAAAGCCCTCCAAGGGCTCGGCCATCCAGCTCCCAGGAAAAGTCTTCACTCACTTCCAGGATTGGAACACGGACCTGTACAGCAGGGACCGAGAGCAGAGGAGCCTCAGCACCTATTACTGCCACTCCTTCTTCGATGCCATAACCGCTGGTGGGTGTTGGCCAGCGTCAGCCTCTCCCAAAACGTGCACCCCTAGCCCTTGTCCCCGTGCTGCTGCAGCTCCCCGTGGTGGGACAGGGGGGTTTGGCTGCTCCACAGCTCCTGGCACTGGTGGCATCACTGATGCACAGTGAAACAGTGCACCTTGAGGCCACAGAGATGTGTCAGGAGCAGGGAAAACATCCTAAAACTTGGGCCATGGCAAGGATTAATCACTGCAGGAGCTGAGCTGTGCAAGATAAGCATTGAACTGTGATCAGCATTTATCCTCTCACGGCTGGAGGGGAGGCAATGAATTATGGAAGCTGAGGGGGTGGCTGGAAAGGCAGGAGGAAACATCCAAACCCTGAGGATCCCCAAATCACCATGGGGCTGCATGGGGAGGAGAGGGGAGCTGGGCAGGGGTGGCTTAATAAAATTTCTCACCTGGGGCACCCTCCCTTTGCCTCACAGACGGGGATCACAACCTCTACATCTTCAAGGGCAGCCACTACTGGGTGGTGTCGGCGAGCGGCAACGCCAGCGAGCCACGGCCACTGCAGCCACGCTGGCCCGGCCTCCCCGCCAGCATCGACGCCTGCACCTGGTCCCAGCTCAGTGGGAAGTTCTACTTCTTCAAAGGTGGGTGAGGCCCGGCCAGGGGACTCCCCTCGGGGCTGCCCCTGCCTGTGGTGTGGCTGTCTGGGTCTGGCTGGAGCCACACAGCTCCTGTTTGTGTTCCTGAGCAGAGCTGGGGTATTGCTGTGTCCTGGCTGTGCAAAACCCTGGGCTTGGTGCTCTGCTGTGGATGAGCCACATGGCCCTGGCAGCCACATCACCTCCTCGTGCCTCAGTTTCCCCATCAGGAGAGCAGCGCTCACTGATGTGCCAAAGCAAATCCAGGTGCTGGGTCTTGGGGAGAAAATGCTCCCCAAACCACGAGGTGCAGGGGTGTGTGTGGGGTTTAATGGTGCACATGGATCCCTGTGTTGTGACTGGAGGCTGAGCTGCTCTGGGAGCTGGGATAGCATCCATAAACTGCCCCAGGAGCTGGGATATCATCCATAAACTGCCCCAATGTCTGGAACAGCATCCCTGAGCTGCCTGGCAGCCAGATGGGGAGAGGAAGGTCAAACCAGGCAGCCTGGCTGCCAGGGTCAGCCCCAGCTTTTTGGGGAAAGCTGTCACTGGCTGTTTAGAAAAGGGGCTTTGTGCTGCAGCTGGGGCAGAGCCAAAGCCCCTCTGCCCCCCCAGCCCTCACCACTCCCTCCATCCTCCCCAGGGCTGCGTCAGGCTGTGCCTTGTGAGCAGAAAGGGGCTTTTGTCTGCCCTGTTGTGGGGACAGGGTGCTGTGGGGACAGCCGAGCCACCGCTCCCCATCGCAATTCCGCGCTGGTCTGGGATGGCCCAGCCTCAGCTGGATCTGTTTGTGACTGTCCCATTCGCTGTGCAGGATCAGGGGGAGGTTTGCCAGCACGGTTGTTGCCTTGCTCTGTCCCTGGTGGTCCTTTTCCATGCCTTCAAGCCCCTGAGCTGCCGTGCCTCAGTTTCCCCCCAGCCTGGTCCTCGGGGCAGCCCTGCAGTGGTTCCTGTGGGGTCACCGGTGGGACGGATGTCACTGACACTTCACAAGGCTGGTCCTGTGGCAGAGTCCGTCCACATCTGGATCTCCTCCTGCCACAAACCCCACCGGGGCTCTAACCCCTGCTCTGACCCCGTTCCCCGCAGGCGGCCGATGCTGGCGCTACGCCGGCTCCAAGCTGGAGTCAGGATTTCCCCGCAAATGCAGCACCCTGGGGCTCCCTCGGCACCCGGACACCGCTCTCTACTTCCAGCAGCTCCGCCGGCTCGTCCTCTTCAAAGGCCCCAAGTACTTCGTGCTGGGCGAGGAGCCGCTGGGCGTGGAGCCCTACTACCCCCGCAGCCTGCGGGACTGGGCAGGGCTGCCCCCGGCCACGGCCGGCGCTCTCACCCACACAGACGGCTCCCTCTACTTCTTTCGGGATGAGCAGTACTGGAAATTCGACCAGACCAAGCTGCGAGTGGTGGCCAGCGGTAAATGGGCGGCACAGCTGGCCTGGATGGGCTGCTGGGATGGCAACAGCGAGCAGGTCCTGTTCTGAGCAGGGGATGGATGGAACGGGGGGTCCGGAGCTCACCCGGAGCTGCCCGGATCCCCCTTTGTGCTGCTCTGGCTCCTGTCTGAGCCCGGTTGGGCAGGGACTGGCTGCCCCTGGATGGATGGAGCCAGCAGAGCCAGGATGCAGCTGGGACAGATGTGCCACAGCCAGCTGGCCTGGAGGCTTTGGGACACGGGATTTTTTTGGAAAAAAAAAGAAAAAAAATCCACCAAAAAAAACCCAAAGTTTTTTTTTGAAGTATCAGCCATGGAGACTGCAAACACACCCATTCCTGTTAACTTTCAGGATATTGTTACACGTGTTTTTTAAACTAAGAGTGGGGTTTGGTGATACTTTTTGATATCTTTGGTGATACTTTTTGATATTTTCCTATGGCAGAGAAGTGTCTCGATGCTGCTTGCTTTGGGGTTCGGATGGTTTTAAATGGCAGACTGAGAACGTCTCCTGCTTAAAACGAAAAGAGACATTTGAACAAAGATTTGGGTCCATGTGGAGCTTTGCCCCTGCAGTTTGTTCAGACCCCGGGGTTGGGGATGCTTTGCTGGGCTGTGCTCATGTCCTGGTGCTCTGCTGAGACACCACCACAGTGGGATTTGGGGGCTGAAAGCAGAGGGGTTTGGTGTTTGGGCTGGAGAGAAAGGGGAGGCTCAGCTGAGCTGCTGGCCCTGTCACTGTGCAGCTGGCAGGCAGCAGGAGCATTGTTTTTGGATGGGTTTGGGGTGCCTGGGTGGGTTCTGCGGGGTCCAACAAGGGTGGTGCTAACCTGGCAGCCCTCACTGTGTGCAGAGAAAGTGCCTGTGCTCTGCTGGCTCTGCAAGGGACGGGATCAGCGAATTCCTGAGTCCCTGAGCCCCACCTGGACGAACAGGGGAGAAAAATAACAGTGGAGGAGGGGAAGAGGAGAGGGCAAGCAGGACAGAAGGACATGTCTGTGCATGCAGGCTCACAGGGACAGTGTGGCTGCATATTCCTCATTCCTTCCCAAGGCAGACTCCCCACCTGGAAACGCTGCTGGCTCCTGGGCACGTCCTGTCTGCAGAGGGCTGGGGATGGACCTCAGCTCCCCAGGCTGGGGATGGACCTCAGCTCCCCAGGCTGGGGATGGACCTCAGCTCCCCAGGCTGGGGATGGACCTCAGCTCCCCAGGGCTGGAATTCCAAGGCACTGGTGCTGAGCAAGACAGGTCTCAGCTTTATGAAATGATTTATTGAAACCTTTTATGCAGTGGTTCTCCCAGGGCTCAGGCCCACTGGGTCCTGCAGTGCCATGTCAGGGTGCTGTGCTGTCCTGCCATGTCAGGGTGCCCTCCTGATTCCAGCAGCTTCAATTATTCCTCTTTTACTCATTTTTGCCTGTTCTAGACCTTCCCTGCAGCACAGGGCTTGCCCTAAGCAGGGTGCCAGGGCTGGTACTTCCCCAGGGCTCTCAGTGCCAGATGCCAGCTGAGCTCTGGGTTTGGCAGGATGGGGAGCCAGCACCCTTCCCTTTCTCCACAACACTTGTGAGCAAGCCCTTCATGTGCAGACACAGGGTCCTCATCTGCCTAAAACCTCAGGGGATTTTCCACGTTGCCAAAGAAACGCCCCCACAGCATTTTCATTGGAATGGAATGATAATAAGGTGACGTTGCCTGCAAGGAGTCCCAAGGGCTTGGAGACCTGACAGCAAATAAAAACCAACCTCTGGATATGTGGCATTGGGATTTGTGCTTGTTTTCTTGTCACACTTTGGGTTTGGGGTTTTTTTTTAAAGCAAATCTCCAATTTCCTGACAGGGTTGTGTTTAAGATGCCTTTGGGTGTTTGGGGTTGGAGTGGGGATTGTTGAATTTGGCCTCAGCTTTCATGCTTGCAGGATCAAAGAGGGGAGATGGATCCCACTGAAAACTCACTGATGGTGATGGAAACACAGAAATTCTCTTTCCTACTTCATCCCCAAATAACTGAGGATTTTTCCACGCTTTGGGATGTGCTAATAGTTTTTTTTCCCCAGGCTGAATTCATTCATTATCCCTTTTCCTGCTCCCTTAGGAGAAAACCAGGCAACCCATCTGCTGTGTGACTGGAGGCTGAGGATGGGGCTACCTCAAATCCTCTCCCCTTTTTGTGTTTTCCATCTCTCCCCTGGCTTGCTGCCCTGGGTTTCCTGGGGCTGTGTCCTGTGGGGTGCCCTGGGGCCCTGTGATGCTGCCAGGGCTGGGGCTGAGCTCAGTGCAGCAAGGGTCACTCTAGATTGTCACCCCATCAATTTGGGGAGGTCTGGAAGAGGTGAACTCAAGCCCTGAGCCTTTCAATCCACCCCACTGGGTGCCCTGGATGGAAATCCAGCTTCTCAAGGGTTCTTTTCTCCTGCTGGGCTCCCTGGCTGGGCACATCAGGCGCAGACTCCTCCGGCCTGCCACACATTCCCCAGACAGAATAGCTGGGATTCCTACATTCCCTCCCCCAAAATGACCCCAGCTGGGCACTGTCTGCAGTGACATCAGCAGCTGGCTCCAGGGAGAGGAGGGGTCCCCCAACACAGCAAGGAGCCCCACAAAGCCCAAGAGAGGCTCTGTTTCGGTCCTGAGGCGTGAACACTTCCCTGGCAGATTTGTTTTTTGCAGGAGTACCTGGCTGCTGTGGCAGCTCTGCCAGGCTTGGGTTAGGGAGGGAGTATCCCACATTCCCAGAGGTGCCCACTCATGCGCAGTTATTTCCTTAAAGCCCCAACTCCTGGAGTCACTCCATTTTGCCAAAGACCTCGCTGTTGTGGCAATGAGGGAGCAGAGGAGCACAGAGCAGAGAAAGCCCAAAGGTGGGTGTGAAAATAAACCCTTCTCACCTCGAGGTTGCCCTGAAGGTGCACCTTGTGGCCCTCAGGTCACCTCACCTGTGGTGGAGGCGGCTGTAGGGGTTTTGGGGAGGGGGAAAATCCCTCCTTGTGGGGTTGGGAACAAACTGGGGGCTGATGAGCTGCTCTCTAACTCCTTCCTGCCCCAGAGCCAGGGCCCTTGAGGGGGTGGAAATCCACCCCTGGCATGGCTGGGGAAGAGCAGGGCTGTGACAGAGGAGCAGGTGCTGAAGGGTTAACAAGGAGTGTTTGCAGCCAGTCCCTTGTCACCAAGGAGAAGGGATCAGCACTTGGGAAGGAAACAAAACAGCCACTGCCCAGGAGGGTGATTTCCTCTCCCCGAGCAGCACTACAGCCCTGGGACCCCGGGAGGGCTCTGGACACCAGGACAGCGTCACCACCCCCTGTGGCACGGAGCAAGTGGCACCAGGTGAGTGTGGCTGCCGGGGAGCTGGGCTGGGGACAGGGCTGGGGCACCTCTCCATGTCCCTTTCATCCTTTTCCCTCACCCTCCTCCCAGGCTTATGGCAGAATGTGGGGGGCACCGGGCACGGGGGCGCGGAGCATCCGTCCCTACCAGTCCAGCGAGCAGTACCTGTACGCCATGAAGGAGGACCTGGCAGAGTGGCTGAAGGAGCTCTATGACCTTGACATCGAGGTGGGCACCTTCTTGGAGGTGCTGGAGACGGGGGCTGTGCTTTGCTCCCACGCCAACCACGTCACCCAGGTGGCCGGGGAGTTTGCCCGTGCCTGCCCCGACGTGGCCCAGCACCTCCACCTGCCCACCGCCGGCGTCGCCTGCAACCTCACAGCACAGCCAGGCACCTTCCAGGCCAGGGACAACGTCTCCAACTTCATCCAGTGGTGCAGGAAGGAAATGGATATCAAAGGTAGGATGCCAGGCTCCAGCTGTCCCATGTCTCCACGTTCAAGTCCCCCTCCAGCCCCTCCAGGTGTCCCCCAAGCCCAGCGCCACCCCGGCATGGGACAGCACCATGTGCCTGCATCCCTGAGCTGGAATTCCTCCTACGAGGTCCTGCAGTGTTTGCTTGGGTGCAAATATGCACAGGAGGAATGGAAAAGGAAAGGGTGGATGGCACAGTGTGTCCCTGCCAGGCACGGCACGATCCCAGCCCTAAGGACAGCAGGAGAAGTCCTGGCTCCGAGCAAAGCCTCTGTCACCCTGTCCTACCACTGTGGATGCCCAGGAAGGAGGGTGGCACAGAGCAGGACATCCTCAGGTCACTCAGACCCTGAGTTTTGTGGCTTTGGGAAGCCATGAAACAGCTGTAGATGCCCAAAAGGAAAGGCTCTTCCTCCTTTGTTATTTATCCCAACTCTTGTTGAACCCAACCCTATTTCTGGTGGGATGGCTCCAGTGAAGAGCACCCTTCTGGGTGGGTTCTGACTCCATGTGTGCCCCCCATCCCCTCTGCCCCCATCCCCACATCCCCT